AAAGAAACCTATATATTGCAGCAGTCTTCTGTAAGGTCTAAAGTCTTCTGTAAAGATAGGTTACATCTATTTTCTCTTCGAATAAGAGCGTACGACTGCGAAAGTAAATCCCACTTTTCCAGTCGGGCACTCTATATTGCAATTTCTACAAATTCATTTGAGATCCCGTCGAGTGCTCTTATTCGAAGAGAAAATATGATGTGCCTTATCTTTTAAAAAGATAGTATGGTAACACCAATTCCATTAGTGAGCTGGATGACTCCATAGAGGGCTCCCATGTGGCCAATGATGTTGCCGCCAAGGGAGGGTGCTCTGTCGAGCAAATAAAAGTAGGTCAGCTTAGGAGAAGTCCTTTTTTTTTAACGCAGGTAAAAAATGCTGTTTAAAGACGACGGCTTTAAGAGGCACACCGCCGAACGGACCTCACACCTGGCTCCCGCAAGCCTTACGGACACCCCACTGGCTGCCCACCGAGGACCCCGCAACTCTTACGGGCGCTTTACGGTATAATATCCGCTAAAAAGTCCTGCGAATACCTTCTACACTGCTTAATGCGAAGCCGCGGGGTCCCGTTTAGGGATTCTACCACGACTACGCACCCAGCAGTTTCCCGGCCTCGCCGGGGCTCCACGGCAGGGGTCTCCCGAGGTATTGCGGGGACCCCTCAGACGTTCGCAGGATGGCCCGCTCATGGGGCTGAGTACGCAGCCTAGTGCCCACCGTACCGCCCCCCGACCGCTGCGGAGGGCTTCTTGTGCGTACCCGTCCAAGCGACCCTCCGCCCCGCCCCCCTTTGTAGGACAAAACTACAAGAGCGCCGTTCCTGGGAGGGGGGAGCGGGAGGGGAAGCGTAGTTCTTCCCGTAGCTTTAGAGAAATCCTGGGGGGGGGGGGGGGTCGGCTCGGTCGTGGTCAAATGTCCGATCGCAACAGAGAAGACACTTGCCCACTCCGGCAGATCATATTATCGATCAATACTTTTCCTAAATCAGTGCTGGAACAACTTTTGCCGTGAAAGGTTGATTATAATAAGTAATAAATTCAAAGATACTATAAAAAAATCACTTATTAAAATAGCTTATTACAAAGTGTCTGATAATATTACAGACAAAAATGCTTAGGTTTGAACTGTTCCAATAATTCCAAAAGGTTTTTTTAATATATTAAATAAACCATGATTGTATTGATTTTGTAACAACATAATGATTTGTAAATGTTGTTACATTATACTTTTAATGCTGTGGAGTTTTTTTGCGCTCGTTTTTCTCCTCAGCTAAAAAATATGTCCAATAACGAGTAGTAGGGAAAAAAATGTTTGGACGTTTCAAAAGAGTTGTACTATACATCCAATTTGAATAAAGATATATCGATTTCTGATTTCTTGATATATGTGTCATAATATGTGACGCTCGTGACGCATTTACGTTTCGTCTTTTCTATAGGATTTTCCATTTACACCCCGTCGCCGGAAAAGAAGTTTCAATTTAAAAATCAAATACCCTACAAGTGCTGTGTACGTATTAGGCGTTGCCTGTTGAAAAAGATGATAATTATGTACTTAAAATGTACTTATCAACGACTAGGGTGACTATGTGATGCCGGCCGTTCATCCATTTTTACATCATGAATAAGTAGTCAAATCAATAAATATTTTACTAAATATATTTTTTCAGAATTTAGCTGCTACATTTATAAATCTAAAGAAAATTTTACTTGATATATTCCACGCGCTCATCAAACAGGTTTCGAACCCGCATCTTGCAAATATTTATCCCGTATTTTATGTATTGTAGAATAGTAATAGTTGTCATGAGTCATGACTCAGGTACAGAGGTTCGCATTCATCATAATTATAAACATTTACCCCTACCGGGATTCGTACCCAATCATTCCATCATGGAGGTCGTCAGTCATAGTCCATCCACAGAACTGTTTATTACACAAACAGTTCGCCTACAACCTGGCGCTGTACTTATTCTATAAATCGATAAATAATCGATTAAACCTAAAGAAAAGTTTACTAGAAAAAAATCCACGCGGACCAGGCACGAACCCGCACCCTTCGCAATCCGGGCGAATGCACTGACCATTATGCTACCGCGGCCCTATTGACTGTGTCGAAATTTTCCTAGCCTTAAGTTGTGGTTCCTAGTAAACTTTTCTTTAGATTTAAACATCTAGCAGTTAAATGCTTAAAAATAAATAAAAATATAATAATCGATTACTTACCTTTATTGTGCCGTATCTTATTTTACGCTACGGCATTAAACATCATGTAAGATAAAGTAGTATGGTCGACTATGATGATGAAAAATATCAAAGTCAACTTTCATAAAAGTGCAGGCACTGGTTTAGTTGTGGCCACGATAATAACTGTTAGTTTGTGAATTGCTTTACCAAAGAAAGTCACTTCGGGATTTGGGTTTGTATGTATACATCCATTAATCTATCTATCTATCTATTAAATTATAGTAAAGATACTAATGCCTCTTATGATGGCTATGCATTCCTCAGAAGCTGTTACACGATTTCATTTCTGGTCGACTGTTAGTAAACGCGGCACCCATCTTGCAGAAAGCTTTTTCATGCCCAGAATATCTTGCAAAATATAAAAAACTCGTTCAGTCGAGATGAGCACAGCATTACTTATTTCGCGTATCTTTACTTGACGGTCTGCCAAAATAATATCATGTAAAGAAAATATAACTAGAAAAAATTCCACGCGGACCAGGCAGCAGACGGGACTTGAACCCGCACCCTTTGCTATCCTGGCGAATGCACTGACCACTGACACTGACTTGTGGGCTACCTACAATGCGAAGAGATGGCGCTGCATTGCAGCTTAAGCATGGCTAGAGGAATTTCGACGCGGCCATCAGGGCCGCGGTAGCATAATTGGTCAGTGCATTCGCCCGGATAGCGAAGGGTGCGGGTTCGAGTCCCGTCTACTGCCTGGTCCGCGTGGATTTTTTTCTAGTTATATTTTCTTAAGATTTAAACATCAAGAAGTTACATGCTTAAAAAATAAAAATTAATAACAATATCATGTATTTTATTAACCATGCCCTCCGTAGTGTCCTCAATCGGCCTTCCTGGGCGCTCCGCATCATTAGTGGTAGTACGTCCACAACAAAATTCAGTGAACCACTTATGTACCATCCCATGAGAAAGCGCAGAATCACCATAAATTTTTTTCAATTTGTCTTCTTAATAGTTTAACCACTCTGTAAAGGTCTGTTTAATAGTTTAACCACGTAAAAAATAGTGTTTAATCAGCACTCGAAACTCGCTTTTCTCCATTTTCAAAGAATACTTAGAAGTCGCCTAACTTTTTTGTTTCTAAAAGCTTGTTTTCGCGCCAAAATTGAAAAAAGAACGGCATGCGCTTCGTAGTGAGTTTCGAAATAAATATGAGACAAAAAAGACGAGCAAGTCTTTTACAGTAGTCGCGTATGATATGTAACATTTGGAACCTTATATTAGTAGAAACAGAAATAAAACCTACAACAAAAGGAAAAAGCCATTTGAACATTATGTTCTAAAATCAAATCAAATAGCGCGCGCTTTCGCGATTTTCTGTTATACACTTCCGTCCCATTTCACGAAATCACTCCCACATATTGCAGGAAAGCGAGAGGAAAGATGTTGCATATCAAAAAATATTAAAAAAGTGTTTATTCAACCTTAAAGTCAAATTGCCAGTTGCCAAACTGCCCTCGGAGGCGCTCGATGGCGCAAAGGTTATTATTATTCAGCAATAATTTCAGTTAAACACCTGATTTTCTCTCTTTAAATAGTCGAGTAAAACCAAAAAAATTTTTGTTTTCTTTTTATCATTCATTTTGTGCTGCTTTTCCAGATGTAACAAAACATAAACAGATAATAATATTATTTGCCTGGGCCCTGAGTTGTTATCTCGGGATGCATCGACCATTGATTGGTCCAGTGTTTTATCTGCAGCAAAAAGTGAAGAAAAGGTAAATGCTTTTAATGGAGTCTTATTATCATTTTTCAATAAACATGCACCAATTCGCACAGTGAGAGTTAAAATACCTCCTGCACCTTGGATGACTTCTCTGGTCCGCATTGCGATGAAGAAACGTGACAGAGCTTTAAGTAAATTTAAAAAGTGTAATATATGAAGACAACTGGGCCTGTTTCAAGACCAAGAGGAACCGCTGTAATCAGATGGTAAGAGCTGCTAAACGCCGCTATTTCCATGATAATATTCTTCACTCATTTCCTACAAATATTTCGAAATTTCTTTGGGTCTCTTGGGTTGATTAAGTCAAGAAATGTTTCCCTTTCTCACTCTTTTTCTCTCAATGATATCAACCGACATTTCTCAGCCACTTCTTCTCATTCTTTAGGAAATATATCCAATGCTCTCGCTGAAATTCCTTTTCTTAGTGATCAACCTAGAAATAGTTTCCAATTTTCTCAAGTGACGGAGTCCAAGGTTCGCAAAACTATTATGTTCCTCAAATCTAAGGCCGTTGGGTACATTAACCCAGTGGTTTTCCCATTAACACGAAGAGATGATGTGGTGACGGCTCTCTAGCTCGCTCGCATTTAGCTAGAAGAAACGTTCCTTAACCAACTTTAATCAATAATGTGACACGTGCTGTGGTAAAAGGGGGAAAAAAATTTTTCTTCTTGTATGATACCCACCCTCATGAAAAATAATTTTATTGAATTTTTAAAATACCAAAATTTCAGCTCTTACCATTCCGTTTACTATCTAGTGACCCGAGACACACGCACAGACGGACAGACGGATAAACGGACAGACGGACAGACAGACAGACGACAGAGTGACAGCAATAGTGTTCCGTTTTAACCTTTGGATACGGAATCCTAAAAAGCCACAGTACATAACTTATCGTTGTCCTAGAATTTGTCAAGACATGGTGAACGTCGCACGACATTATAATTAATATAAAATAAACTGTGTACAAAGTCGCAATATCACATATTGAAACGACTTTTCATTCGGTCATCATGTTTTTAGTGATTATTTTATCTATTGTTATAACTGCTCTTTTCTTTGTATGGTATTTATCACGACGTAAATTTGACTATTGGAAGAAGCAGAAGGTTCCGCATTTAAAGCCTTCCACTATAGTCGGCAATTATGGTGATTATATATTCCTCAAAAAGTTTTTAGGAACTGTTACCCATGAGATTTTACAAAAGTTTCCTAAAGAACCTTACGTTGGTGCGTACTATGGGACAGAGCCCGTGCTCATCCTGCAGGATCCTGAGATGGTGAAATTGGTTACCACTAAAGATTTCTACTATTTCCACGGCAGGGAAGTGACCAATTATACGCACAAGGAGATCACCACCCATAATCTTATATTTTGTGGTGGTGACGAATGGAAAGTAACACGTCAACATTTAACCCCACTATTCTCTGCCTCTAAAATGAAGAACATGTTCCATCTTATTGAAAAGTGTGCCATCGAATTGGAAGAATTACTCGACAATGATCCGAACTTACTGAACAAGTGCGATATTAGAGACCTTATGGCAAGATTTACTATGGCGTGCATATTTTCCTGTGCATTTGGAGTGGACATAAACACATTTTCTAAAGAGCATGAATCCAACCCGTTTGTTAAAATGGGCAAGTTGCTATTTGAAACATCCACCTTAAGAGGTTTTCTAAACATAGGTCGAGCCGTTTGGCCCAAGATCTTCTATATGCTTGGATTTCAAAATTTCCCACCTACGATGAATGATTTCTTCAAAAAATTCCTTGCCGAAGTGTTCGCAGGACGTCAATACAAGACGACGGGGAGAAACGATTTTGTAGACCTCCTTCTGCTTTTGAAGGAGAAAGAATTTCTGGTCGGTGATTGCATCTCAAATAGTAAAACTAATGAGAATAAAAAGCTGCAGTTGCCACTGACAGACGATTTTATGATAGGCCAATGCATCGTTTTCTTCGCTGCTGGTTTCGAGACGTCTGCGTCAACCTTGAGCTACACTCTGTTCGAGTTAGCGAAGAAACCTGACATTTTGAAGAAGGTCCAGGTGGAAATTGATGAATTCTTAATAAAACATCACAATAAACTGGAATATGAGTGCGTTACTGAGCTGCCTTATACGGAGGCTTGTGTTGATGAGACCCTGAGACTGTACCCGGTGTTGGCTGTAATCACGCGCGAGGTGATGGACGAGTACACTTTCCCGACCGGTCTGACGGTGCACAAAGGCGTGCGCATACACATACCTGCATACCATATGCATCGCAACCCCGAGTACTTCCCGGAACCGGAGAAGTTCCGTCCAGAAAGATTTTTACCACCCGAAAAGAGCAAAATTGTGTCCCATAGTTACCTTCCATTCGGAGACGGAGGCAGAATTTGCATTGGTAAGTCCTAAAATTCTTAGTACTATTTTAAACATAAACCGCTATATTACAAGACGTGGACTAAAGTTAAACCTGCACTAGAGCTGATGCTGTCACTTTTGTTTGCTAAAAAGAAGACAGAGACAACATTAGGTTTAAACCAAGACTAACTTTTGTCCGCTTTTGGAATGAGGTGGAAACAATTACACGTAAGATATTTATGTACATATACGTAGTTGAAGTTCGTAGAATATCTAAAATGTAAAAATAGAAACAAGCGACACTATGAGGCAGTCCAATAAGTACATCGACGTAGATACAATTATTAATGGTTAGGTAAGGGCGAGGGTAGCAGATTTTACACTTGAATTATAGCGCCAGTCTGGGGAATTTAAAGTTCGCATTTTCCGCTTACCCATACCATTAAGTCCATACTGGGAAACGAATTTACTTGGAGCCCATAATACATAAAAATAAATATTCCACAAATAAGTCCAACAGAAAACAATTGGATTAATTTACTTCAAAAAAATACAAGTAACGAATAAAGTGATTAAACCGAATGACATTCAGATAATTATCTATTACTTAGTGCAGATATCAGGTTAGACAAGACTATTTTATAATGGAGATAGTATCTACTGATAAATTGACTGTGATTCCTTTAAAGTTGCATTGTCATCTTTAATACGTAGTTTTCATACCAGACTAACCATTCCAAAATATCAAAAATGCACAACGTTAATATTCAAGTTTTCACTTCTGCCGGCGGCTCTCCCGGAGTGCAACCCGTCGTTTTTTTTTCACTATAATCATAAGTATATTCTTGTGGTATTATTAATGCTCATTTTGACTTTAAGGACGTTTTCTTTTGTCCTCTATGCGAATTGCTCAATAAAAATGCAATCAAGCTATTTATATTGCTTACTAAAATTTTAATGTGCACACCTATCAAGTAAATTGCTTATATATAGATATGTTTTCTCTATACAATTGTATAATATTGCTGCCTAAATAATTATTATGCGAAGTGCCGTCTTTGACCTATTGGGGGCCCTGGGCATATTAGGATAATGGGGCCCCTATAACCCCCGTTTAGTGATTTAACAGGAACTAGGGACTTTGTATTTGATTTGAGGGGAGCCCCTATAGATCGCGGGGCCCTAGGCACTTGCTCAAAGTGCCCACTGGGAAAAAGTGGCCTGATTAGGTGTCATGACTGTTTATTTTGCAGATACATAATAAAACAAGCTGCCTGCTTATGTTTAAATTACTGACCCTTGTCATTATTGTTTACAGAACAAGAATTGCAGCCTGATTTTAATTATTGCTAACAAAATCTTTGTATGCTTGCCAAAGGATTTGTAGGCTGTTTGTTTTTTGCTAAGCACATTTAAAAATTGCTAACCAATTAATTACATCTCTTCATTAAATAGGTACTAGTGGTCCGCCCTCGCTTCGCTTCGGTGTAGACTATAGTTTTATTTTAATACAGGGTGTAAGGGGAACGCTCCTGAAGCCGAAATATATGTATGACTAGCGGCCCGCCCCCGCTTCGCTTCGGTGTAGAGCTGAAGTGTAGACTACAGTTTTTGTTCTCAGGCTTGTATTATACACAATGACATTCATCTATGATTCTTCTTATACCTGCATGCAAAGTCTCAGCCCGATCGGTTTAAAATTGACAAAGTTTCATACAAAATTTTCATTCCCTATTTTATCCCCTTGGGGGTAGAATTGATCAAAATCCTTTCTTAGCGGATGCCTACGTCATAACATCTACCTGCATGCCAAATTTTAGCCAGATCCGTCCAGTGGTTTGGGCTGTGCGTTGATAGATCACTATGTCAGCCAGTCACCTTTGAGTTATATATATATAGATATTATGAAATTGTAAGCTAATGGCAGTGGTATTTGTTTTTATTGAACCGTTTTTAATGAATAAGTATTTTACAAGGACGCAATGTAAAGCGAACAAATACTCGTCGATCACCCGTTCTACACGTGACCACTAGTAGGTACGTGTGCTCGTACGCACATAAAGACAAGCTTCAGTTTATGCATGAAGCACGATCGAAAAAAATAAACTTATTTTTTTATTAACTTAAACATTACCTATCAAAATCCGCTGTTGATGTTATAGAGAAAACAATCTGGTTCAATGATTTCAATAAAATAACCCATCCTACTTAATAGATAAATAAATAATAATAAATAAATAAAAAAATCTGCCTGCTCACGTGTTCCTTCTTACAACCTGGGATCCTTTAAAAGAGGCGTGAAGAAGCAAAATGCAGGCCGGCAGGGTGAGGATAGCTGGTGTGGCAGGAAGAACTGCTGTATCAGCTATTCATTGTCATTTGTCAGACCTATAAAAAAAAAAGTCTCATACCTGCTCATGACCTTTTTGCGGTTTTAAAAGGTGTGCCTCGAACCGCGCTCCATTTAACACGATGCAAACTCGAGTTCGTCGTGACGTTTCTTGGTGAAGATGAGGAAATAAAGGGTTGGCTCTTAGCTCCTCAAAGAAACTTTCGATTCGAGCCTGCATTTTATTTGGACTATCACAATTTCGATTAAACACTGGTTATTTTACGTATCCTCACAAAAAAAATGTCCCAAAGGTCAGGTCAAATCCAGAGAGCGCGCCGGCCAGGCTTGTGGCCTATAATAATATAATATATACTAGAAAAATGAACCTAAAACTAATAACCTTAAAAAATAAAGTATAATAACTAAAATACATTATTAAAAGGAGTCCCTTTAGGTAAGGTTCGAAGATACTGGCAGCGTTTCCCCTTTAGCTAGACTAATTCTTTGTCCGAGGTAGCTGCCAGCTCTTCGGTCTCCTGTGATGTCGACTAACCTTTTTGCTATTTCCTTAAAAAGCCTTATAGCGCTAAGACCCCACGGACCAAGGGTCTCTACACCGAATGGGACAAAATCATATACGGAGCCTAGACCCCTGTATTTGCATGCCTCAGCTTCTTCAGCCGCTTCGCAAGCCTCACCAATAAAAATAAAATAAAAGAATAATTAAAAGAAGCCTAAATTAAATGCACATTTTCGCACCGAACCGGAAAGGAACTGAATTACGTCGCACATCAATCGCAACAAGCCGTTCCTGCCGATGCGAGGGCCTCCCGCCATACCGTCCGCGTCATAATAGCGAAGTGGGAACAGTACCCCTAGCACGAACCAATATCGAATTCGAATAGTTTGCGAGTCCGAAATGTCATTGTCAAATTTTGTATGAAAACTTGAACAGCAACACCACTATGGACGTAACGAGAACTAATTGGAATTGGAAAATAAAGGTATTCGCAAATGATACGAATTCGATATTGGTTCGTGCTAAGGCTACAGTAGGTCCGTTCGAGTTCTCCTCGCACAGTCTCATGCAGTTGCTTGTTTATTCTACAGTTTCTGTTTACGAAACAGACTAAATACTTCAAATATACAAAGCGAATATTGTATTTATTGCTATTTAATCTAGTATACCTAAAATACTCAAAGTTTCATGAAGTCTCGCACCTCTGGGATGGCTCCGCCAAGTAGGTACTATTATATATGGTATGCTTTGGATAGGTTACAGCGGCGTGCGATCCGCATCATAGGCGATGAGGAGGTGACTAAACACCTCGAGCCTCTTCAATTACGCCGTGTCGTGGCGTCACTAAGCGCGTTCTATCGTCTGTACCACGGCGAGTGTTATGAAGAGTTATTCTCTCTTATTCCACCTTCCCCTTTTCTTCAGAGGACTACGCGCGCTGGCCTTTGGTGTCACCGTTTAACTGTGGCCACAATTCCAACGCGTACAAAGAAATTTGGTGACTCATTTCTTTGTCGCACTATCCTTAAATGGAAAGAAAACCTGGGATCCTTTAAAAGAGGCGTGAAGAAGCAACATGCAGGCTGGCAAGGTGAGGATGGCTGGTGTGGCAGGTAGAACTGCTGTACCAGCTATTTTCACGTCTGGACTACACCATCACTTAACATCAGGTGGGGTGGAGTCATTTGTCGCACCTATCTATAAAAAAAAAGAAGTCGCGTATATGAATTTCAGGACAAAATTTTGTTTGCCAACATTTATACAAAACTTCATAATTCATAGCACATAAGTAATCGTTAAAGTTAATCATGTTTAATAAGTTCCTGCTCCCGCAATGAAAGATCGTTTTATGTATAAGAATTATAAAAACGGATATTGACAACTATTTAAAGATACCAATTTATTTATCAGCATGTGCGCAACTTGGGAATTAAAAATCTTTTTTAATAAGATTAAAATTAGTTTTTGCTGATAATAATTTGAACCTCCTATCCTTCGTCTACACTGCAAAACTCAATATGTATAATAGGCGCGGCTCGGGGCACTGGCTAGATGAGTAATAGTGAGATGTACCTACTGTATCGCTCGGGTCTATTCGAATTCGATAATTGTTCGTGCTAGGGGTACAGCTGATTTATCGAATATTAATTACATTGGGTGTTGTTAGATAAATGATTAAAAAAAATGATATTTTTGATGAAGCTGTTGTAGTAAATTAACCTTACAACATTGTTATATGCATAAAGAGAATATTTTTTTGAAAAATAAATATATATTTTTTATACTTGTATCATGTCCAGAATCAGTAACTCCAACCCTTGGTTTTTTTTTCGGGAGCGTTTTCCTCACAACCGGTTTACAAACTATGACACTCACAAAATCAAAATCAAAATCAAGATCGTTTATTCAGTCTAGGCTGTTACAAGTACTTGTGACTGTCGAATAGCTACGCCATCGGTCGGAGACCTTGTACTAAGAAGAACTGTCAAGAAACTCAGCAAGGGCTGTTTTTTTCTCCCTGTGTTATAAACAGAGTCGTCAAATTGAAAAATGAGATAACTTTAATATGAGATAACTCATGAAGACACTTTCCATTACAAATGTAAATGATATAAAAATTATGACTATATAATAAAATATATAAAAATAATTTTCCAATATTTCCAATACTCACACCAATTAGCCTAGC